GAAACAGAAGATAGGGAAATGCAGAACAAGTGCTGGCCAACAGAGCAGTGTACAGAGGGTGGTGAGGGGTTCTCCATCACTTTGAGAAGGTTGGGTAAATATATTTCAAGTGTGGGCTAGTGGATCTGGCAGTTGACCATCAACCCAGACTGCAGGCTCTCAGCACCTCTGTTCTTGTTGCTAAAAATTCCTTGTTGCTTTGATAATCGGTGCAAATGGTGCAACTTCATTTATATTACCACTTGTAGAAGAGCATTTTCTAGGCCTTTGTGTCTACTTGACCGCTGAGAAATGCAGCATTGGCTGATAAGATGGTTATTTTCTAGCAGAAACACACCTTCCACATCTAATCCAGTTATGCCTGAGCAGAAACCTTTCAAAAGCCTCTGCAGATGGATTGCAGCGGCCCTGCTGTACCTGTGTTTTGTGTGACAGTGAGTGCTTGTGGATGAGGGGTATAGAAGCCACATTCCAGCGTAGGTGGGGGCAGAGATCCCAGTGAACGCTGTGTTCCTAGGCATGGTGAGGTCTTGTGACTGGTGTGTCATCCCCTGGCTTTTTCTTTCCCTTGACGCCCTTCTGCCTCTCCATTTCTGGTGTTACCAGAGTTTGAAAGAGCAGTAATCTCCATTTACCACAGGTTCTCTTTCCAATCTTTTCATCTTCCTTGTTGCTGTGCAGCAGAGTATTGCATACCTAGACTTTATCCAGCTCTTTGCTATGCTTAGCTGACCTTTGCAATCTCCCTGGCCCCTTCCCATCTAAATTACAAGTCTTCCAGAGCAATGCTGCTTGCACTCCCAAGTCCAGCAGTGTCACAGAGGTGCAGAAGAGGCTGCATCTATGTCACAGCAATAAGGCAATAGCCTTATGCCTTATTTTGCTTAGTATGTTAGAAACATCATTATTGTGGAAGACTCAGCCTGCTTCGAGCTGTTCGTGTCTTCCGTTGAGGTGTGCTGCTTGGCTGAGGCTCCGAGCTGCCACATTTCATTTTAGCGTATGTTGTGATTCACCTTGGTAAATCTGAGACAGGGGATGGAGACAAAAATTGCTTGCAACCAGCTGTCCCTATTACCCTTCAGTATTCTGCAGATAGAATGAGGAATTGCAGGTAGATGGATTGTCTTGTCCCTGTAGATATTCGATGAGCCCTGCCATTTTTTATCCCCTTCTCATAACCTGCCATCTCTGGTCTATCATGCCCATACCCATTTATTCTGGGAGTGGCGTCTCTAGAGGGGACAGATCTGCCTCTCTCCCTGGATGAGAGCTGTACAAGAGACGAGCTTCTAAGTCCTGGCCCATCTAAATTATTTCTACTTTTCAAACAGTCTCCTCTAAAGCCTTCAGTGATGTGCTTTACAATTATACAATTTTGAAAATACTCCAAGATTGCTTAAAGACCCTGTGGCCCTCAGAGACTTGCCCTTCAGTCGTGTTTTCCTGTCTGCCCCTCTGTGTTGCCGGTTTCTTTATGCTTATGCTATAAGCTCTTTCTGTCAGCCCTTGGCAGGATGAACACTGATCTGTGGCTGAGGCTCCAGGTGCACAGTAATACCAACAAATAATAAAGGTGGGAACTTAACACAAGGAAACCTGTTTTCCAGCCTGGACCCTGTGGGTTCCACCTTGAAGTGGTACTGTGGGAACATTGAGCCGTTTTCAGACCCGCTTTCTCTCTTACTGTCATTGTGATAATCAGGAAGGCAGATGCTGCATCTTCAAAAGCCCACCCTGAAGTCCTGCAGCCTTAGCCGGTGTGATGGAGAACAGGGATGCCCCCAGCCTCAGACTGCGAGTCGGAGCTCCCAAATCCGGCAGAAGTATGCCTGCTGCTCCTCGGGTGGCTGCTGTCTCCTCCCAGCCTGGAAGGGGCCAGCGTTCCCCAACGGGAAGTAATTGCTTTGGAAACCTCGTGGAACATCTGTGTCCAATCAGCCCGAACATCCATACCAGGCGCAGCGCGGCTGGGCCGAGCACCGGCGGTAGCAGGGAGCGTTGGAAGGGGCTGTGCCCCCGGCGCCGCGGCTCCCAGGGGGTTGCATGGGGGAGCAGTCTTCGGGGCCTGCGGATGTGGTGGTCCTGCCTTTCGTAGCTTACCAGCGACAAGCTGCAGCACAAACCACGAGGCTTGAGATGCAGCTCAGAACTACGGGGTTTGTCAAGCCAAACGAGCGAGAACTTTGGTAATTGTAAGCTGGGAAAACGGGTTTTAGTTCTTTAGCCCTGTTTGGGGCTCTGCGTGCTGTATAGGTGGAAGTATGAGTGAGAGCTCGATGCAGACACTGCACATTTCTCCCTGCAATTACTACAGAGGGAAAACGTACCGAAATGGAATATCACCCCTATAATAATCTGAGGGGAACTGCACAGAAAAGTTACAGCGGAGAACACAGAGCAAATAGAAATTATACAGAAGGGAGAAACCAGAACAATTTCGGAGCTGTGTGATAAGTGAGGAAAGCAGTCAGGAAAATCATCTGGATGAATGACAGGAGAAACAGCCACAGTGAAGGGACCAAAGGAGCAGGTTACAGTCTCAGCTATGGATAGGATCCACTGGCATTGAAGTAGCTGAGAGGAGCCCAGGTATGGGCCTAGCAGTTCACACAGCACTGTGAGATGTGTGATTATCTGTCTAAACAGCTCAAGCAACAGCAAAGGATAAAAGTCTCAAGTGTTTGTAATATTTTTTTTTTCTCCTTAATATTTTGTGTGTGATGTAAAAGCTCCTTAAATCCCAGAACTTATGTAGCACTCTTATGGAGTGTGAGTCAAACAAAAGGCAGCTTTTGTCCACTTGAAATAGCTTGCAGACTTTTGGTTTGAATTGTTTGCAAAATTTAGGCGATGCCATATTTAGAGTTGCACATGAAATCGTAATTCAACTTATAAACTTATTTTAGTTTCAGGGTCACATGCTATTTTTCCAGGGTGTGCCTGCTTAAACCCATGATAAGATGGTTTCACTGAATGAGTAGCTCTTCAGAATTTTTGTTTATCATCTTCATTTCTGTGAGACCTGTAACAAGCTTAATGCAAGTGGGATCTGTGGGTTTTGGGGTTTTTAATTTAATTTTTTTCCCCTCCTTCCCGGGAACTGAAAGACCTCTGCTTTACACGTGCCTTTAGGAAATTCCAAAGGTTTCATATTTAGCCAATTGTTAATGAATTTTCACAAGGAGACAAAACTCAGCTGACATACCAAATCCCTCAAATCCCTTGGTCAAATGGATCTTGGACTTTATTAACATTTGTAAAGTTGATATTTTTTTCCCTAATATTTTTTTTCAATGGTGGGATCACTCAGTGGCTGAAAATGTTGTATTATTATGGAAAGTGTTAGACCACTTTGACACCAGGCATTCTTTCTAATTCAACTATGATGAACGAGCATGAGTGTTAATTAGGATTTTTTTCCATTTAGGGTTCTGAGACCCCTTTGCCATTATTGAAATGCAAACTTAAACTCACAGGATCCTTGCCCTGGTCAGCAAAAGTATCCTGTTGGGGCCACTTTGAGGGGGGAGGTGGGATCAAAACAGGATAGCAATGGCATTTAGCTATCTTAGGCTGTTGGTTTGGATAATAACATGCATCCTCATCGAGTTTGCTGTGTTAATGCCTTTTGTAGGGCAACAGCCATCTACCAAAGTTCATTCTTCGGGATCTGAAATTCAGCAGCTAAGGATAATGGTGGGATTGTTCCACAAAGGAGCCTCTGTAAGGTGTTCAGTGCCACAGGGCATGAGAGTTGACAGGAGCCGAGTGTGTGAAATGCAGCAGGCGTAGGCTGTGGCAGAACTACCCTTCGGAACTACAGGGATAATCACTGCTGGGCAGGGGAGACTCCTGAGGGTTTTGCAGGGGATCATCATTATTTTCGGCAGTGCCTGGAAAGCAACTGTAAAGTCACTGTTAAGCTGTAAGCAACCCAAAGCTGGTGTAAATAATGACTTCCAAAGCACGTGTTTTATGTGCTGTGTAGTGTCTGCCTGTTGCTTGTCATGAGATCACAGGGAAGATGGCTCGGTGCTTGCGAAGGAGGTTTTCATTTGGATTACCCTGCCAAAGCTGGTGGTTAGCACATTAAAATTCCTGCCATCCTCCCTGTGCCTTGCTCTGAATTTTTAACCCAAACAGAAGTGAAACGTTAGAACGTAATTGTTCTGTACGTCCCTGAACATGGAGCTTCTGGCTGTTTTGGGGGCAGTATGGCCCGTACGGCTAAGGCTGAGCCGGCAGGAGCAGTGGCATGAAGCCATGTGGCAGAGGCATGAGCCCCTCTCCAGGCAGGGCTGTCTAGCAGGGTAGTGGCCTTCAAGGCCAGTGCTCTCCCATGTTTGCAAGATGAAGACTTTCATTAAAAAACAATTTATTGGAAAACCTTAAAGGACATACTTTGTTGGTTTTTTCCCTTGTAGCACAAATATGCACAGTCCTTCAGAAAACAAGGTGTCACCTTTATAAGCTTACAGCTTAATTCGCATAAAACCTAACAAAAGGCAATAAATCTTGGATAAAGTGGGAAGCATGTAGCTTACACTGCAAGTAGAGCTGTACAGTCATCTTCAACTCTTTGAATGTTCTTAAAAGCATTTGCTATCCCAGGGTACATCCTCTTGGAAGCAGGTAGGAGTGATCACAGTGTGCTGGAAAGCTTAAGCCATTAACCAAACCAGTTGAAAGTGCTAATAAGGGTGCAGAGATGGCACCAGGGGGTCATTCGTGCTGAAGCCCAGGCCACTCTGACTTCCTCACACTCGTCATCCAGACAGGCTCCTGTGTATCTGCACGTGCTGTCACCCCTCCAGGATACATCCTCCCACTACAACCTCATACTAGTGGCCTGTGGCAGTGGGTAGGGACAGCGGGAACCGCTGCCAGTAGTGTGGTTGGTTGGTTTGCTTGTTTTAATAATAATAGCAATCTGGTGACCTTTGTATATAATTGTACTTGTTGGTTTATCTTTCTTTTATTTCTTATTTTGTTGCCAGAGTGCCTCCGATGGCTTTTGGAAGTCAGTGGCAACCCGTGTCCCAAGAGAACCTCATGAGATACGTATCCTGAATCCCTACTTCATCCAGGAGGCAGCTTTCAGCTTCATCGGACTGCCTTTCAACAACGGCCTGATGGGCAGAGGGGTAGGTATACAGCAGAGCAAGCCAACCCAAGGGGAAGGACGAGAGACCAAGCAGCAGAGTAGTCTTACGCAGTTCTTACTTTTCCTCTGCTGCTGGACATTGAAGGGAAAGGTCTTTGGCTCTTTCATGGTGGCAGCACTCAGCCTCCTTAAGGCCAAGGTAGGATCCATCCTTTCTGGTACTGGAACTGCTATTCTGGAGGCAGCTCTGAGGCTTCCAGCCCCAGCTGGGTGATTTCCTGTCACCCACAGCCTGCCAGAAGGGCTCTTGTTTGTGTGGGTGGAGGGAGAAGGAACCCTGCTCTCTGCACCCTCAGCACATCTGGAAGTGGTGCAGGTCTCCTTAAAGGTCATGCTACTGTTATACGATTAACTGTCCTCATGGAGACTGCGGCCTAAAATCACTTTATAGTAAAAGAGGGTAAAGGTTTATTTTATGAGAACGTTGGTAAGAAATTCTGATCTTCCAATGGCAAGTTTTAGATGTAAAAGCTTACAAAAGAATGTTAAAAACAATTTTAGCTCATAGGTATTAACAGAATGCCTTTATGACCATTCTAGTACTGTCACCCCCAAGTGCAGCTTTTTGGAGTGTTAGTGTGGAGTAGGTCATGACTTGTTTTTTCTGGATTATCTCACACTGCAACACTGTCCTCAGAACCTATTTATATTTGCTCTACCTAATATATCAGCCATTAGAGAAAGTATTACTTGGGTGGGTAAGGTACTCGTACACATGTGATATAGTTGTTGATAGAGACCACACGTGACATTTTTGGGCACATTAGCACAGCTGACAAACCCAGGGAGAAGCACTGCTGCTGGACAAGGTCTGCTTGCGCTGCCCCTGGCGTTGTCCTTCCGTTGTTATCAGTGCAGGAGTTTGCCCTGTTGCAGCGTGGATTTGGACTAGACAAAATAGTGCCTCATTTTCCATGCTCTAATTGTATCATGAAGTCGTCAGAAACGTTAGAGACGTTTGTTTTGTGCTGGTCAGATGAGTGGGTGTCTGGAGGTGAGAAAATCACAGGCATATTCAGCCACACAGAACGGTCCTTCTGTGAAATGCATTGCTGCATGTGTATGTACGGAAGCTGTTACTGGATTTTTGCTCTGTGCCCTGAAGGTCTCCCAGATACTCCCTTCAGCAAGGAATTAACTTACTACACCTCTCTGCATTCTCCAGAACTTAGCCTTGGAAGGACGTGGGCTTGATTTTTCATCCAGAAAATCAGAACTGCTGCCCCAGTGAAGGACGGAAATTATCAGACTTTTGCCTTTATTTTCTCCAGATTTGTTTTTATTTTTAAACACGTTATTTTAATACACGAGATATTACCTAAGATGAGAGGAGAGAATCCGGAAATGAAAATACTGTGAACTGAAGTTTATGAGGTTTTGATAGGTTGTTTAACACACATCAGTTTGGGAAATGAAGGCATCTTAATTGAAACCTGATGTTTTACTTCATGGAAGTCCATTTGAGCATTTAAAAATAAGTTTATGGAGCTTTAAGGCAAGCAATCTTTGCCCATGACCCCTGCTAGATTGTGTAAATTGTAGTTCATTCCTTCAGCTGGGGCAGCAGGAGCTCTGCAGGTGCATCTGGGAGGCTGCGACATTAGTGTACCCTGTGCTGTCCCTGCAAGGATGCTCTAGTATAGTGATTCTATCAGAGTTTAAAAATAGGGAAAGTATTTCTAGCTTGTGGGTACAGATTTTACTTCAGACAGCAACTATGGACTGCTGTCTTGGAGCTGCTGGGACTTCATGCCTTAGGGAATGCTGCTGCATGAGTGCAGATGCTTCAACAGCTACTGCTGCCAGTGTGAAGAGGGAAGAAGAGTCTGAGTAGGATCCCAGTGATACACATTTCCTACAGACGCTTTTTCATTTAGACTTTAAATGGTAAGAGTGGAAATCAGAGCCTGTAGACCAAGAATCCAACTCTCATTAAAGATTTGAGAGAAATCCAGCAAGATCGATGAGGCAGCTAGAGCAAGCAGTGTTGCTCCACAAGAGGCAGCGTGACCCAGCAGCTGCAGAGCATAGCCAGTTGGGTTCAGGGTCGTGCTTTAGAGATGCGAGACAGCCGGGAAAACTCCTCTCAAGAAAGAAGCATATGAACATGCAAAAGGAAAACACTGAGGTCTAGGAAGCAAAAGCACAGCAAACAACTTGTGTCCTGAATTTCTGAGGGGAAACTGGGATGGGGGCAGATTGGTGCCCCCGTGCTGCAGTGTGCTGTGGGAGGATCAAGGCTGGGGTTGCCTTAGTAATCAAGGCCAACACGAAATCCTCATAAAGAGCAGTAATATTCCACTCTTTTTGGTTTTGATGCCTAAATAAACTTCAGTGCTTCTCTTGCACACCACATATGGTAACAATGTGCTGCCAATTAACTTTGTAATTTGTGGGCTTTTTCAGCAAGGTTGAGGAGAGCTAGTAAAATAGTTTGGGGCTGATCTCAAAGTGTTTTTCCCAGGATTCAATAAAGGGTGAATGTAGTAACATCCTTTGCTTTGATAATATAATTTGGGCCAGATGGTTCTGGAGGATAGTGGAGGGGGGTACAACTCAAACATACATTTTGGCACTAGTAGCCAAAAGTCTGAGCAAGGAGCAAAACTGGTCACCCATAATGAACAGTGACTTCTCGCTGGGACTGGGTCTTTTCAGGAGTTTCCTCTGTCCATTTACTGAAGTCTTAAGAAGAGAGCGGTCTGTTCCCTACTACATGTGGACTTCTCTTTGCTTGGGATAAGTTGATGATAAGAAAACCTTTCGTTTCAGATCCTCGCAACGTCTGGGGAAAATTAAATGTTAATGCCTGGAGATGGTTTAGCATGAAAGAAACGAACTAATAAAGATTCTCTTTGATTAAAGAATCCTCTTAAGGTCTGGATGCAGTCTTGGCTGTCCCACTAGCCAAAGGTGTATGTGTGTGATGTATGTTTAGGTGGACGTTCTGTGTATACAGGTCTTTTGGGCTTGAAACCAGATCACTGGTACTGCAGCTGGTAATTCCAGCATGGAATAACCTACCTTCCACTGCAGACAGGTTACAGGGGAACAAGTATGGACATCAGTTCAGAGGCGTCATTGCCTGTTGCATGTACAGCACTAGAGATGCTTATTGCCATGGTGCTTTTTGCTGTGTAGTGAAAGTCCTAGCCACTCCATAGTGCTCACAGCCATTGGAGCACTGGGTTTCTGGCTCCTCTGAGAGCCCTGAGCCTGGTGTGAGGTGGCCAGGAGAACATTTCAGATTACACAGATTATCAGGACTCTGAGGGACTCCAGTGCAGACTGTGCTGTTTGTTTCTCTATCTCTGCTCATGATATGCATGCATGGAACTGCTTATGATTTAACTGCTTGTGAGATGAAGCTCTGCTGCCCAAAACTGTAAGCCTTTGGTTTGTTCATGTGCTGGAAATGGCTGAATCTACAGACTTCTTACTAAAGACACAAAGCATCCTCCACTGGACTTCACCCAGCCTCAGCACCGACTTGGTGAAGGAGCCATATGAGGAGGTGTTATCAGACGGCGTCAGGCACCCGGCCATGGATTAGCACCTCTGCAGCAGTGCTGACAGCCCTCATGCACTGGGGATTAACCTCTGATGGTGGAGTGTTAGCACGTTCTGCCCCAGGGCTTCTCTTTGCTGTTCCTTGGTTTTGCCTGCGGGCAGGCAGCCTTTCTGGTTGCACCCCAGGCAGTTTTCAGCTCCCTTGTCTGGTCTCAATGTCAATGACTCTCAATGACTCTCTCTCATCAGTACTGGGTTGCCCTGGTGAGCGCACTCTCGCTTGCTTTTGCACTTGGTAGAGTAACTGAAGGGATTTTACTTTTCAGTGGAAGAGGAGGCCATGAACTCCCATTTCGCATAGGGTGAAGCATATACGTGGTTACCGCAGAGCAGCCAGCTTGTAGTAAATTCGTGCCCTTGCTTGCCCCCGGTTAGACTGTTAGGTCCTTAAGAAATACTCCCTGCATTGCACAGGAATCTGCTTTGTGGCAAGTGATGAATCAGAGCTTGTGCATCAGGTTAGATGTGGTCGAAGATATTTGATTTGGGCTAAGTTGCGTAGGAGGGCATCAGTTAAATGGCAGAACGGAACCTGCTGGGCAGCTAGCTTGTCATGTCTTCAGCCTCTGGCCCTTCCCTTTTGCTCTGCTGCAGACTGCCAGTTCTTCTTCGGGCTCTGTCCCACCTACAGCAAAGGATAACGGGGCGGGGAGGTGAAGGGAGAGTGCTGGAGATGCTCTGCTTTGTCTCTTGAGGCCCAATATTGCAGCTGATTCTGTGCGCGGATGGAGGTAGCTGTCAGAGCAGCACTGTGGGTTGTAAGCTCCTGTGTCAGGGACCACTCTGCAGGTACTTGTCTGCTCGCAGTAAGTGATGCTGAATTGCTTTTCCTGCTGTATTTCCAAACTTGCTGGCTAAGGGAAGCAAAGAGGAGGTTTGGGATTGTTCCTATGCAAACATAAATGAACAAAAAGAAAATACAGTGACTGCTGTGTATAGTGTGTGATGGCTATTATAGTTTTGTTCTGTATTTCTTTTGTTTTTTTACTTTATTGCTGTTAGGCAATCAGATCTTTAACTGATAGAACTAAGGTAGCAATTTTTCCTAGGTGACCAATTTTTCAAGCTTTCCCTCAAATAAATTAATATAGTAGTCAAACAGATTTTAATAGGTAGCTGCATTATTGCTTTTAGGAAATTTATTCTTTAGCAATTCTTAGCCTTTTAGTGAAAAAGGTAACAATTGGAATAATCTGAACAATCCAGTATGTCTTACCCTGAGCAAAGTGAAATCCCATAAATAACTGGAATTCATTTAGCATATTAAGGGAGTCAAATATTTCTAAAAACAGATTTACAGCAGTCATTTCCTTCCAGTCCAGCAGGCAGTGACACAGGAATGACCCGGGCATGGAATGAAAAGCAGCGAGAGCTTTTCACATGCACCAAGCAAAGAGCAGTTACGATCCC